CCTCACCCTAACCCCACTAGCCCGCCCATGCATGTAAAAAATAAATTGAAGCTAGACCACAATGCATCATGTTTATCAAACTCAGAATAGGCCAATGGCAGGCGTGTAGAGAGATTTCTTTTCCTGAAGGAAAAAAGATGTTTTACAGTCCTACAATACAGTTGCCTTTCATAACGGTAGAGGGTGAAAAATAACTCATCTGCAAGCACTGTAAAAGCATGTTGACATCTCTTTCCCCAAGCAACCAGCTRCAGCTCCCTCCCCCCTCCAGTTTTTGACCAATCCATAGATTCAAAAGCTAATCTATAAAATTTTATAAAACTATGGAAAAGCATGGTTTAGAATATTTTCAATGTTGGCGAAAGCGAGACAAGAATACATAAGAATACATAATGACTATTGAAAATCGTGAAATCTAAAGCAACATCGAAAGGGGTTACATCGTTGCAGTTACTTTAACTATAAACCGCTTTTATTTGTAAGCATAAAATAAACAAATAAATTGAGAAAATGCACTCTTTTTTCCACGGAATATTTACTTAATAATTAGCGAATGTCGTAAAAAATATTAATATAAAGCAGTTATTTCTTATGACCTTGTAGAATCGAAATGTGTTCTAATTGCACAAACATGTACAAACTCGCTAATTCCGCATTTTATTGGATGAGGCAAAAACCTTCAATAAACATTCACAAAAACAAACCATTGCAGAAAGAAATTAGCTTAATATTTAAACGCTTTGTACTCATAATTTTGCCGCGACATCGCTGTCAACCAAGATTGAAAAGACCGAAAAGCTTATGTGTGTTCAATAACCTCAATACTTTTCAAATCTGGGGTAGTCTTTAAGGGTTTTTCTAATCTATTTATTTACTGTAAGAGAGTGTTTAGTATTAACTGCTTTTAGGTTAATAAACCTTGATAACGTTTTGCATATATTTTCATTTTTATATTCTTCTCAAATATACACAAAAACGTCAACAATATATTGTTGCTTCGCGTTTGTGAATATATTACTTTGAAATGCAAACTCCAATCGTGGCTTTAAGCTCTTATATGCTATTTAAATTGTATTAATTTAAGCAATTTAGTATTGCATGAGCTTCAAAACATCTAGAAAATCCTTAATCTATAAAAGGTTTTAAAATTTTCCAAGAAAGCTTTACACTGAGTTGCTTTTTAAAACACCATCCCCAACTTACCAATCGTAGATATGTAGCTATCTGAAAATATATCTTCTGTAAATCTAAATATCAAACATGTCTTTCCAACACCACTATCTCCAAGGACTAAGATCTTATAGGTGCATTCGAAGTCATTTTCTGGAGAGGAAGCAGCCGCCATAATTTTAGTGTCAAAGTTTATAATGTAATGTTATACTTTTCTCTTTTGGATTTCCTCGAAGTTGAGGCAAGTCAGCGGTAATCTCGATATGACCGGAAGTTCAGAATTTTACGTTAACATTAAACGTTAACACAAATGTTTGTTTCACTTTGATCTATGAAAAGCCTTCTTTTTATTGTCTGTTGTTAYTTTTTCGAAATAGTTTTTCCTAATTCTTAAGTTATTTTTCATTTCATTTTCTTATTTCGTCTGATCACTACCGCAATATATTTACACCCACCCCCTAGGGATAATACCTTTGTCTCAGTCCTTGACCGGATGTAGAAAAACTGAGGCTAAATTTAACTAAAAAGGTTTCAAAATCGTTCAAGGAATGGCATTTCAGCGAAATCTGACAGTTTTTTACAAGAAATAATAAAAGTATGTAGAGGGTGTTGAAGCACGTCCTTACCCCTTCATAGTGAGGGGAAATTTTGCACGCCACAGCGATCCTGTACTCGCTGAAGCGACTTGAAATAATCAGGTTAAAGTATCCAATATTTGTCTTCTAGAAATGGGCTTCAAAACTACTATATTCCGTTCTTTAACAAGAACAGCTACTGTATCTGCTGGTTTATTCGCCGGAGGGACTTTGTATATCACTTTAGTTGAACATCCAGCCAGAAGAAAGCTTGCTACAAGTCAAATGTACTTGGAATGGAAGGAAAGCCTAGTCAGCGCTAAACCAATGCCTCTACTTGTCCTAATATCGTCTTTATCTGGTATAGGAGCTTATCTTCTCAAGCCCAAAGCGAAGGGAATACCATGGATCTTTGCCGGTGGAGCGATAGCTGTGATCCTGCCATACACGGCCCTCGTAATGTGGCCTTTTGCGATCGGTCCAATATACGACAAGCAGAGGGCAGAGAGAAAGGGTGACGAGTATGTCAGGAGATATTTGGAAAAATGGAATTCATTGAACACATTTAGAACCGTTTTGTCCTTAGCCGTGTTTGGATTTTGCGTTTATAATATAAGAAAGTAGTACTGGTTTGTATAAACTCAATGTATTTTGGCTGATGTAATTTTAGGAAAAATTTTGAATGGATGCAAGGACTTTAGACAGTCAGGATCACGATTTTATAAACTCCTTTGTATAACTTCATATATACTTGATTGAATAATTCCCAAAGATAACTTTTAAACCTTTGCAGGCTAAATGACAAGAACTGACTTCACATTCGTATGATATATTGTGACTTGGAGGTAAATTCATATTTTTGTATAAAAAAAGGTTTTGTAACTCAACAAGATATCTAATACTATGATAAACTGGTCTTGTGCATGATGCATGATGCATGAAACAATTAATTTCTGAATTATGGATCCTGTGTTTCTTTAATCCTGAATAGTACCAAGTTTTAATAGATGGTATGGCATTTTTCACCAGTGCTAACTAGCAGAAAAATATACCGTAAATCCTCTATTTAGCCACCCCTCTCAAATAAGCCCCCCCTCTCTTATAAGCTTCCCCTTTTTAAAGGAAGAAATTTGTTAAGCCCCCCCTCTCTTTTTAGCCCCCCCTTCCAAACTAAAGAATCACATGTACTGATTAAAGGTGATTTATTAAAGTCTTGATACRGTAGTTCACTAACATAATCGTAAATTATACTTGAGAGACTAACAAAGGTGAATCAAATAATAAAAATGCYATGTACATCACTACAGATTATGYGAGACGGTCAATAGTAATGCTTCCGTTTAATCCTGAGTTACAATCATATTACATCCTGACAGCGTACAGCTTACTGTGTTTCAACTAAATCAATAAGCCCCCCCTCTCAATTAAGCCCCCTCTCTCCAATAAGCTCCACTACTGCGATGTGGTTTGGGATAATTTACCAAAAACATCAGCTGACAGACTCCAAAAAATGCAAAATCGCGCAGGCCGAATTATAACTAAGAGTAATTATGAAACTAGGTCGCGCGACATTTTAATGTCTCTAGGATGGGAAAATTTTCAAAACAGGCGGAAGAAACATAAAGCCATAATAATGTACAAGACTTTGAATGCTCTTGCACCTCAAAGTTTAAGAGACCGCTCCGAGTATCAAACTACAAAATATAATTTGCGGAAGGGAGAAAAGTGTTTAAAATTATCGAAACCAAACACTGAGTACCTCAAACGTGCGTTCTCCTATGAAGGTGCAAAAGCATGGAACTCTTCGCCTTCAGATATTAAGTCAGCTAGAAGTATAAGGGAATTTAAAAGAAAGCTTTCTTCTGTTGGACTCTCATAAACTTTTTTAGCTGTCTAAATTGTACTCTTATTTAACTCGACATTCTTGTAAAGCAATTTTTATATTGATAGAATTTTTTTTCGAGTATAAATAAAGTATCACTCACTCACTCACTCACTCACTCCCTCAAACATGCCTGAAATAAATGAGCCCCTGGGGGGCTAAATAGAGGATTTACGGTAGTCAAAAATAGTGAAGAATAATGAAAAGTAATTATTTATAAAAGTTATGTGACAGGATCTTGAAATGGGTACCCAATCCCAGTGTTTATGGACAGCCATTTGGCAGAATTCCAGTCCTAGTGGTGATCCTTGGGGCAATCCAATGTTAGCCTGATTCTATTTCAATTTCTGCTCATGTAGATTAGATCCGTTCCTTTGGCAACTAATATAGACAAATCTTAGTTTTTATTTATCTTAAAATATTATCTTGAATGAGGGACTTAAACCTGAAAATTCAAAATAGATGGCACAAAGTGGAAAATCCCTTGGAGAAAAAAGACTTTTTCATATTTTGTATTTACCAGTTTCATYCTCACTTTCAGAATAATTTTAAATGTGGTATATAAATAACTATTCCTTATCATTTTTGAATCTGTAAAATTTCCATTGAATTTTTWAAAAAACATACAGAGAGTTGTTTTTTGTTTTTTTTTACAATTTTTATTTAGGTTTTCACTTAAAAAATGACAGATTGAAATCCCATTATCTATTCTTCAAAGAAAAATTGATAGAGTTTGTACATCTTTTCATAAATAGCACCCAATCTCTCCTAAAACCACTAAATATATAATCACTACCACATTTCTAAAGTTCGTAAAAGTTACACTCATGATCAAGACGACTCAATCAATCCACACAGTCCAAAGACCAGTGTTTCCATTCCTGGTTTTAGCCATAGACGACATTGTAGATGCAGTAGATGAAACTTCCAACATCAACGAGGGTCCTCACTTTGTGATACAAAGCCCATCCATTGATGGTATCTCTGATTTCTCTCTCGGGTAACTTCTTTGAGACCACTGAGTACTTATCTTTGACTGGCGTGACGTAGTTCGGGATGAGAAAGACGAAGGAGTACGGTGCATTGAAGAAAAGAGCTCCTGCTACAATCAAGTAAGGAAGGCCTTTGCTTGGATTTAAAATGTAGCAAGCGATTCCACTACCCATTGGAAAGATAGAGCCAACTGCCATGAAGCGAGCAGCACGGTTGAAGCTATCGAGGAATTGCGTATGTAAAGACTCGGTATCTTCGATTGCCATACGAGCTGGGTGTTCAATAAGCGTGATGTAAAGAGCGCTTCCAGCTAAAATACCAGAAAATGCAGCTTGGCAGAACTTGAGAGCTTCGAATGCTGAATCGGCGTTCATTTTCAGAGATTTCAAGATATATATATATATATGATATAAAGCGATTTATACTAACTTCACGGTTATGGCGTCCTACATGTAAATGCGGCTTGGGACAAAGTATTATGCAAGCGATCGAGCACTCCCTTAGTATAATATCATTGTTTCATTGTTTACACGATTATCAAAGATCATTGGTGGATCACTTACCGAAAAGGCTTGTCTTATTGTCAACTAAAATTTAATTAACTAACAAAGGGTCCGTAGGCGACATTAGGACCCTACGTTGTACCTATTTTCATTAAGTCACTGTTATAAGACTACGAAAATGTGGGGAAAATTTTTTGAAAAAATCTCGAAACAAAAAATTAATGTTTGGGCTCCCTTTGTAATGCTTGTCCCAATGGAGACTGACTGACAGGCAAACTACGATCCAAAATTGCTCAATTTACATTGAAAAAATACAGCAAAGGTGCATTGTTTGTTTGTTGTTTTTTTTTTTTTT